TTAAATTTGACGACATAATTTCATTATGCGACATCGTCTTATGCCTCGTAAGAAGACTAAAGCTCTTGTGCAATAGTAGTATGCTTCATAATATCAATAATTCTTAAGCGATAACATAATCTTTAGAGTAACCTAAGGGTTTATAATCTACTTATTCCCATAATGACGATGCTATTGAAGTTCATTTAGACATACCTTGTACGCGGAGACCCATTTCAAACAGTGCCTTCTCGTCTGTGAACCAGATCTCTACACACAATCGTCCTGTCAATTTGTTCCATCCACAAGCTGTTGCCGGTAGTGCAGGCTGCACCTGACCTCAGGAGGCTAATGCTTAACACCACATCAAAATGTGTCAGAGAGTTTAAGCCTCCATAATTAATTCCTCTACTCCCTCTCCCTCTCAGCATGTGCCTTCTATTACATGACAGTTTGTCTGTCCTCAGTTCCGGTTACTATGACCAATATACCTTGTCCGTCGGATGTGATCTCTCCATTCTCTTTGACAAACTAGGCCTTTTCTGAGCTCGCCGAATGCAGAGGTCGGCTTGACAGGCTGCAAAGAAGGCCCAGAAGCACCAGCATCCTCCTTCTTCTAATCACCATCATTATTGTCTCTTCCAAATCCTCATTTTTATCCCCATCCTTCTCTTCCTCATTAGTATCACCATTCTTATAATCTGCCTAGCACCCATCGCTTTGGAATTAATTCCTCCATTCTCCTCATAATCATAATTATCATCATCATAATCATAGTTAATTTCATAATCGATTGTTCTTCATACTCTTTTTAATAACTATCGCTATCAGCAACATCGTCATCAGCACTCCCACTCTCCTTCTCCTCCTCATCATCACTATCCTTGGGATAATTTTCAAAATCCTATAATTTCCGCTTTATACTCATGCTCAGAAACATATTCTTATTTTACCTTACCCCTTCCTCTTCTCAAGCAATTTTTATCTAACAGCTCAGCATTGGCATCGTCTGAAGAATCCACAAATCTCCCTCATTCTTCTGCTCTTCCTCCTCCCCATCATCATCATTATTGTCATTCTACTTTATTCAATTGCATCACATACTACTTCTCAACCTTACTAGCATCTTCATTTTCATCGTCACTCTTCCACTCCGCCTCCTACCCTGCCGCCTCCAGACTGTCATCATCCTCAACCTCAAATTTTAACTCATATTTTTCCATCACGTAGTTCTCAGCCTCATTCCCATTCCAATCTCCATCCTCATCATCATCAGCAGCCGCAGCATCGGCAGCCTCTTCCTTATTTCCATTTTCCTTATCATTATCATCACAATAATCGAGAACGTGGCCGCCATCCTATTCACCTCCATCTCTTTTCTTCTCCAAATAAGCATAATATTAGTAATAATAATAATAATAATACTCGTCACCATTCACTTCTTAAAACTCCTCCCTCCTCTCATCCTCCTTCTTTTAGTCATTATCAATGTCGATGCTATCTTCATCCTCCTCTCTCCATCTTCCTTCCTTTTTTCACCAAATCGACAGTGTTATCATCACCTTGTTCAAACTCATTATCATTCGCATAATCCTCAGCATCATCATCGCCAACTTCATTAACGTCGTCGACCTGCACCTGCACCTGCGCCTTACCTTCCCTCTCAAAATCAGTGTCATCATCATTTTCACTCTACTACTAACCCTCTCCACATTCCTCAGCCTCTTCCTCCTCCTCGAATCGGCTTACATAAACAATGCATTTCCGCACTCAAGCTGAAGTTTTGTCTGGGCATATTCTTCTATTCCTCCCTCACTACTTGGCTTGAGTTGAGTGTTTGTACTAAAAGCTCTAGATTGTATGTTTCTTTGGACTTTTAGTAAGGCTACAACCCTACGCCATCAAGTGGCGAAGGAAGTCGCTCAAAAACATGTGAATCGCTGCGAGCAGTTCAACAGTTTCGGATTCTACACTCAAAAGGAGTGTCTAAATGGATGGTCCCTTCAGATGGCTTAAAAGCAGGATTTGTTTAGCCTTGGCTATGAGCAATCTACGCTTCAAAAGAGGCAGAGAAGATGGGTTTTAACGGCTTTCGCGAGGACGAACCATGCGCTATTAAGCAAGAAACGACCCTTTCCCTCTTGTTTGGGTAAGCAATGCTCACAACGCAGGGGAGTCGGCAAATCGTAGGCCATCAGGGCGACCCAGCTCACCTGCGTCTGTCGCCTGACAACGGACGTTGTTTGGTTAATCCCCTCTTGAAACCCCCCTCCTGTAATCTCGTTCGCCTCCAGCCAGAACCTTCACATGCGATATCTCCGACGCTCGGCCCAGCAAGCCCAGGCTTTTCTGCCAATGCAAAATCAATTAAACGGAAATCTCCTTCCATAGTTCTAAGCCTCACTCTCTTTCTCACTTTCTTTCGCTTTCTCTCTCTCTCTCTCTCTCTCTCTCTCTTTCTTTCTTTCTTTCTTTCTTTCTCTCCCACAAACACAAACACAAACACATAAAGCATACACAAATTCTCACATAAGCACATACGAGCAGGTATATATATATATGTGTGTGTGTGTGTGTGTGTTTACACACATGGCTGTATACGCTTGATCTCTTTTCCTTTATCCCCTGATTGTGGATAGGGTGGATATTTCGCCGACTAGGCCTTTACTGGGGACCGGATAAAAGCAACGGACAGAATAGGTGTGCTTGTGCCCCCAAAACAAATGAGGCACTAACTGTCAGCAGGTCTAAGTAGCTAGGGGGGACAGGCCTGATTTGTCTGCGAGGACGAAGAGCAATCCGTTCCAGTTAATGGATTATCGATTTATCCACTGGGTTATCTGATTTTCGTATCAATTCTCCAGGCTTTCTAGCCTCTCATGAAACCCACCCCTCAACCCACCTTTCCTGTGACACTCCCATCCATTCATAGAGGAATCCAGTTTCACTCGACCCTTTTCTCAGATCGACTAGTTCCTAATCCAGCAAAGTGATGCCATTTTGACCGGTCCGCCAGCCCGGGTCGAAAAAACCGGACAAACAAAGCGCAGACAATGAGAACAGAGATGTGTGTGTGTGTGTTGAGTGCATGTGTGAATGGGTGGGAGTGGGTGGGCGGGTATTGTTGTTAGCGCGAGTGTAGTTGTGGCTGAGGTTGGGTCAACCGCGTTGGGCCGGGCCTCCTGAGCTCGAAGCCAGCCTGAAGCGTGACTCCGAGTCCGGCTAGAATGAAAAAAACCGCTTCGGAACAAACAAATCTGAAAGGTTCATCTTCACTTTTTCGCGGCCAGTTGAGTTGCTTTTGCCTCCTAACTTTGGAGCCGTGCCAAAGTCCGGCAGAGAGCACGAGTAGGCACTTAGTAACCCGAGAAAACTTAATGTGGGATATAACCAACAAACAAGCGAATATTTCTTGAAGTGGGTTGACCTCGTTTTCGCAACTTGGTCTCGTTGTTAGGGCGAGTTACTACCCTAGTCCGAAGTCGTCTGCCATAGTAGTTGTCATGATTCCCAGCATCTGACAGTGGACTTGATACATTCTCTAGTCCGAAGTCGTCTGCCATAGTAGTTGTCATGATTCCCAGCATCTGACAGTGGACTTGGTACATTCTCGCCGAAGTCGTCTGCCATAGTAGTTGTCATGATTCCCAGCATCTGACAGTGGACTTGGTACATTCTCAAACATTTCGCCGGCATCATCAGTGAGCTCTGCCATTCTCTGCACCAAGCTACGAACTCGTCAAAGAGACAAATGAAGTCCATACCTCGACAAACGTTCTGCCGAAAACGGTTACACCATCACTGCTCTTTCTATCCTGGCCTATCTATCAACTCTTTACTCTCTTATCCAACTTCCCTTCTATCACAACTTCTTACTTGTTTACATTCCATTCGTCGCCTTATCACACATGCGACCATACCAGAAGCCACACCATCTTGGTCTTCATATCTTCATAGAGAATACATTATTTATAAGCAAAGTTTCGAGACTACCAATATGAGATGCATTCACCCTATTTCGTTTTAAAGTGATGAAGGAGTGGTAGTTTAATTTTCCCATAATTATATGAGTAGAGCTGGTGTTTCCAGTAAATTTCACAGCCTTGCTTTTCAAAAAGGTGTTCACATTTGGGGTGGACTTCAGTCTCGACCTCGACCTC